ACATACAGTTTGTTATTTTTAAGACACTGACAGGATCATACAGTACCATACCCTGTTCTGCATTGTGCTCTTTTCACTTATATTTTGGAGATCTCCTAAAGATCAGTAAATGTTTTCATTTGCTAATCAAAGCCTATGCATTTTTTTTTTTTTAGATTTTATTTATTTATTTGACAGAGAGAGATAGCGAGAGCAGGAACACAAGCAGGGGGAGTGGGGGAGGGAGAAGCAGGGAGCCCGATGCGGGACTTGATCCCAGGACTGGGATCATGACCTGAGCCCAAGGCAGATGCTTAACGACTGAGTCACCCAGGTGCCCAATGCCTATGCATTTAAAAAAAATGATTTTTCTTGGGGCACCTGGGTGGCTCTGTCAGTTAAGTGTCTGCCTTGGGCTCAAGTCACGATCCCTCAATCCTGAGATTTAGCCCCATATCGGGCTCCTTGCTCAGCGGGAAGTTGGCTTCTCCTTCTAAGTTTTTCTTAGTAGCTATATAATATCCCATCATATGGACATGCTTTTTTTTAAAAAAATTTTTTATTGTTATGTTAATCACTATACATTACATCATTAGTTTTTGATGTAGTGTTCTATGATTCATTGTTTGTGCATAACACCCAGTGCTCCATGCAGAACGTGCCCTCTTTAATACCCATCACCAGGCTAACCCATCCTCTCACCCCCCTCCCCTCTAGAACTCTCAGTTTGTTTTCAGAGTCCATCGTCTCTCATGGTTCGTCTCCCCCTCCGATTTCCCCCTCTTCATTCTTCCCCTCCTGCTATCTTCTTCCTTTTTTTTTTTCTTAACATATATTGCATTATTTGTTTCAGAGGTACAGATCTGAGATTCAACAGTCTTGCACATTTCACAGCACTCACCATAGCACATACCCTCCCCAGTGTCTGTCTCCCAGCCACCCCATCCCTCCCACCCCATCCCCCACTCCAGTAACTCTCAGTTTGTTTCCTGAGGTTAAGAATTCCTCATATCTCTTAATCGCAGGAAACAAACTGAGTGTTGTTGGAGTGGGGGGTGGGGTGGGAGGGATGGGGTGACTGGGTGATAGACACTGGGGAGCGTATGTGCTCTGGTAAGCGCTGTGAATTGTGTAAGACTGTTGAATCTCAGATCTGTACCTCTGAAACAAATAATGCAATATATGTTAAGAAAAAAAAAAGAAGAAGAAGAAGAAGAAGGTAGCGGGAGGGGAAGAATGAAGCGGGGGAAATCGGAGGGGTAGACGAACCATGAGAGACGATGGACTCTGAAAAACAAACTGAGGGTTCTAGAGGGGAGGGGGGTGGGAGGATGGGTTAGCCTAGTGGTGGGTATTGAGGAGGGCACATTCTGCATGGAGCACTGGGTGTTGTGCACAAACAATGAATCATGGAACACTTCATCTAAAACTAATGATGTAATGTATGGGGATTAACATAAGAATAAAAAAAAAAAGAATTCCTCATATCAGTGAGGTCATATGATACATGTCTTTCTCTGATTGACTTATTTCACTCAGCATAACACCCTCCAGTTCCATCCACATCATTGCAAATGGCAAGATCTCATTCCTTTTGATGGCTGCATAATATTCCATTGTATATATATACCACTTCTTCTTTATCCATTCATCTGTCGATGGACATCTTGGCTCTTTCCACAGTTTGGCTATTGTGGACATTGCCGCCATAAACATCGGGGTGCACGTACCCCTTCGGATCCCTACTTTTGTATCTTTGGGGTAAATACCCAGTAGTGCAATTGCTGAATCATATGGTAGCTCTATTTTCAACTTTTTGAGGAACCTCCATACTGTTTTCCAGAGTGGTTGCACCAGCTTGCCTTCCCACCAACAGAGTAGGAGGGTTCCCCTTTCTCCGCATCCCCACCAACATCTGTCGTTTCCTGACTTGTTAATTTTAGCCATTCTGACTGGTGTGAGGTGGTATCTCATTGAGGTTTTGATTTGGATTTCCCTGATGCCGAGTGGAAAAATGTCTGTTCATGTCTTCTGCCCATTTCTTGATTGGATTCTTTGTTCTTTGGGTGTTGAGTTTGATAAGTTCTTTGTAGATTTTGGATACTAGCCCTTTATCTGATATGTCATTTGCAAATATCTTCTCCCATTCTGTCAGTTGTCTTTTGGTTTTGTGGACTGTTTCTTTTGCTGTGCAAAAGCTTTTTATCTTGATGAAGTCCCAATAGTTCATTTTTGCCCTTGCTTCCCTTGCCTTTGGCGATGTTTCTAGGAAGAAGTTGCTGCGACTAACCTCCTGTTGGACTTTTGTGTGTTTCCAGTTTTACTCTATTGTAAACAATGCTGTCTTCTACAGAGGACCTGTTTTCACATTTTTAATCATCTCAGGATGAATTCTAAAAAGAGAAATTACTGTCAAGAGACACATCCATCTGATGGCTTTTGATCGTCCTGTCAAATTGCCATGCTCCAGGGGCGCCTGGGTGGCTCAGATGGTTAAAGGTCTGCCTTCGGCTCAGGTCATGATCCCAGGGTCCTGGGATCGAGTCCCGCATCAGGCTCCTTGCTCAGCAAGGAGTCTGCTTCTCCCTCTCCCTCTGCCTCTCCCCCTGCTTGTTCTCTCTCTGTCTCTCTCAGAAATGAATAAATAAAGTCTTAAAAAAAACCCTGCCATGCCCCATAGTTGGACCAATTTGTACTCGTCCTTCAGTCATGATTAGGACTGCCCACTTCCCTTCTCCATACAAACCCTGAGTGGGATAATTAAAAATAGCAACAACCAGCTGTTCCAAATTTGACAAATAAAAAATGGTACCACATTTAAATTTTTGAGTAATTAGTTTCTAGCGCTATTTATATTTCTTGCATGAGTTGTTTGTTCATGTTCACTCATTTCTCTATTGGAACGTTCATGTCTTATTCTTTTATAATAAAAACTTTCAATGTTTCAGTTTTTTATTGTAGTAAGATACACATAACATAAAACTTACTATCTCTCTCTCTTTTTTAAAGATTTTATTTATTTATTTGAGAGAGAGAGTGCGAGCACAAGCAGGGGGAGTGGCAGGCAGAGGGAGAAGCAGGTTTCCCGCTGAGCAGGGAGCCGATGTGGGACTTGATCCCAGGACCCTAGGATTATGACCTGAGCCGAAGGCAGACGCTTAACAGAGTGAGCCACCAGGCATCCCTAAAATTTACTATCTTAACTGTTTTTAAGTTCAGTGGCATGAAGTACATTCACATTGTTGTGCAACCATCACCACTATCAATTTCCAGAATTATTTTCAGCTTACAAAACTGAAACTCTCTGTCCATTAAACACTAACTCTCCATTCTTCCTCACTCTAACTCAAGATCCTAGCAACCACCGTTCTGCTTTCTGTCTCTATAAAGTTGACTATTCTAGGTACCCCATATAAGTGGTATCATACAGTATCATATTTTTGTGACTGGCTTCTTTCACTTAGCATAATGTCCTCAAGCGTCATCCCTATTGTAGCACATGTCAGAATTTCCTTCCTTTTTAAGGCTGAAGACTATTCCATTATAGGTGTGTACCACATTTTTCTCATCCATTCACCCATCCATGGATACTTGGATGTATCCCTCTGCTATTGTGAATAATGCTGCTAATAATGAACATGGATGTACAGATACAGGCATATATTTTCGAAACATTTAAGTTTGACATTTGCCTTTTAATTTTGCTCATCATATTTTTCTGATTTGCTAAGGTTAAATATTTTTATTTTGGTCAGATCCATTGATTTCTTCCTTTATGGCATCTGACATTGATGTCAAGCTGAAAAAAACCCACCGCCCACTTTAATACATAATGAAATACTATATATTTTTTCTAGTCCTTTATATATATTTATCCACTTATATTTATAATTCATTTGAACTATATTTTGTGATGTGAAATAGACACTTTTCTCCCCTGCCCATAAATGGCTAACTAATTGTCCCATCACCATTTCCCCCACCAATCTGAAATACATTATCACACACACACATCTTTGGGGATGTTTTTGGACTTTCTGTTTGTTTCCTTGGTTTCTGTGTTAATTAAACTGGGAAAACTTAAAGAAAGGATGCTCAGGGGCGCCTGGGTGACTCATTTGGTTAAGTGCCCAAATCTTAATTTTGGCTCAGGTCATGATCTCAGGGTTTGAGATTGAGCCCCTCGTGGGGCTCCCTGCTGGGCATGGAGCCTGCTTAACATTCTCTTTCTCCCTCTCCCTTGGCCCCCCGCCCAAAAAAAGGATGCTCAAAGGCAATTAGTAGCATCAGGATACACTTGAAGGTCAAAGGCAAGCTGCCAACCTACCTTGTCTGTATTTCCTTCCCTGTCTTCTTTTTATGTGATGCCTCTGTGTTGGTTACATTCTTCGTCCCCTGTTGCTTCCTGTCACTTCTTCAGACATAGTGGAAAGCTTTGGTGAGGATTCTTAGGATATACGCAATTTTGGTTTTCATTGAACACTGGGGAAGGCACCTATGGATATAATAGCAAATGTCAGTAGCTTTTGGATTTCCCTACGAACTTTTTCAATACTCCTGGGTATGGCCAACAGTCCCTAAGAAGTAGGCAAGCTCTCAGGATCTTCACACTGGAGGCCAGGTTTTCTCCTCTCAGCATGTTTCCCTCCTGCAAAGGATGTGGGCTGTCCTGGTATGGGAAGCAGGTGAATTTGGAGGGCACTGTGCAATGTGCAGGCAACCTCTATATTTATAAACATGTCTAAAACTCAGCTGCTTCAAACAAGGCTTGAGAAGCATGCTCTTACGATGCTGTCGGCCAGACTGGTCTCTGCTCAACTCCAGGAATGTAAGCGATCCTGGGGCGGAGGTAGCTTGAAGCCTGGATGGAGCTGGTCCTAGGGTCGGGCAGCATGCCGGGCCAATGTCCTACTGTTTTCAATACAGTCCCTTTAAAATATTTTAATAATCTGTAGGGCCCACCAGTTTTCATTTTAGGTATTGAGAGTGATTTAATTTTGTATGCTTAACTTTCCAGGTAGGCAGAGCAGGTGTCGAAAGGGAGAAAGGCCTCGTCACTCAGCAAATCCGGTTTCCCTCGCAGTAGAACTCTGAGAACCTGACTCCTCACGCAGTGCTCCGAAGAAACCCGGCTCTTCGGCGCCGCCGGGCAGCGAGCGGACGGGCTGTGGCCTCGCCTCTGCGGCGCAGGAGCGCGCAGCCCCAGCCCCAGCCCCAGCCCCAGCCCCAGCCCCTGCCCCAGCCCCAGCCCCAGCCCCAGCCCCAGCCCCAGCCCAGCCAGCTCCAGGGGCGGGGCCGCGGCCGCACCAGGGATGAGCGCCGCCGACCGCACGGCCCGGGCTCCAGGCGGAGTCGCGTCGCGCCCGCCCCGCCCGCCCCGCCCGCCCCGCCCGCCGGGACCCGCGCCCGCGAGCGCGCCCTCGGCACTGGCCTGCGGCAGCCGGACTTGCCTCCGCCCAGTGGCCCGCGGCGGGCAGGGAGCCGATGGGCGGCGGGCCGAGGCATGGCGGGCCGCCGGGCGCCGGGGGAGAAGCGCTGGCAGCTGGTGCGCTGGTGAGTGGGCACGGGGGTGGCGGGGGGGCGGCGCGCGGGGCCTGGTGCGGGCGCGAACCCGCGCTCCCTGCGCCGCGAGGTCCGGCTGGGCGCGGGAAAGCGCGGGGCGCTGGCCCAAAGTTTCTTCTCGAGCTGAGGTTGCGGGGCCGGGTTTACCGAGAGGCTCTGGACTGCCTGGTCGTAACCATCCCGCGTCCCCGCGCGGGGTCTTTGCGGCTCCCCAGACAGATGGGCACTGGGACCCGGGACCCTGTCCCTGACGTCAGGCTTTGGAGGGACCCCGGCCCCCCTTCCACAGGCTCATAGGCAGGGCTTCCCTCCTTCCTTTAATTCCCAACCTCAGCTTTCTGATTTGTGCCATGGGGGTCCCCCGCCTACCTCCATTCCTTCTGCTGCTTTGGTCGGGCCACGGTATTGGGCCCCAGGCTGCACAACCCACAACCTTCAGCTCCCCTGTTCAAGGAGCTACCCTTGTCTATCTACACAGGGACCTCTGAGGGTGGGGTGCACTTCGGGGTTGTGGACTTAGAGACGGGGGCCTGGGAGGTGAGGGAAGAGGTCCCTGCGTACGTGAGTGGTTGCCCCTACCCCCACCGCAGTTCTGCCCAGGCCTGTGGGTATCAGGTTACCTGACTGCGGGCTGAGCGGGTTTCAGACGCAGCGCCGGGAGTCACCTGGGTTGGGCCTATGTCCCCAGTGTCCGAACGTTGAGGACTGCTTCAGCCAGAGGCCTGACCTCTGCTTGGCGGGATTTAGAATGCAAGGTAACCTGCTTTGGGAGAACTCCAAGAATGGAAGGAGAATGTCTGGCTGGGACCACTCCCCATCCCACATTATCCCACCCACATCAGGACCAGGGAGCATCTCTGAAGTAACATTCTGGACACATCTCACCAGGTATATTCTGTAGCTGGAATACAGATAGGAATAATATCATCAATAATAACAACCTGGGCTTCCTGCTCACTTTTCTTCTGACTCCAGGATCCAGGTGTTGCACTTACTCTTCATAGTGATGCTCAGAGGAAGGTATTAGCACCCCATTTTACAGATGAGGAAACAGGCTTAGAGGAGAAAAGTGGTTAGTCAAGGCCACCCAGCAAACAAGTGGCTGAGTCAGGGTTTATGCCCAGGTCTTGCCCAGGGGGTTAACTGCTCCTCTGTTTTGCTTATTTCCTGGACCACCCCACCCAGCCTGGCCATGCATCCAAGTTCCCATTGTCAGAAAATCCTAGCATGTCAGAGCAGGAGGGGTCATTGGGTGTCCAGCCTGCTCAGCCCACCTCTGCGCTGGGGGGATTCCAAAAATCAAAGTCTAAATAATCAACATTATTATTTAGAAGTGGAACCACTTTTCAGATTAAACCCCAAATATATAAATCAGATAAAAGTAGAGTTAATCTGTTTGAAGAGTTGGTGGAAAGCTAGTGTCCTCTCCCTGGTAAGGAGGCACCACCCCAGGACTGCAGATCAGTGTGCTCAGATCAGTGTGCTTCACGGGGGAGGAAGTAGGAAGTTTTAAAGGGGTAGAGCTTAGATTCCTGCTCTGAATCTCTCCCTCTCTCTCTCTCTGCCCTGGTATTGCCTGGCTGGGTTGGATCCTGGGCTGAACCGGGTGATGCATGAATTATTGTTAGTGACCTAACAATAACCCTAACCCCAGAAAGGTCTGGGGTTACCTTTCACCCCCAGGTGAAAGCCCTTTGCCATGAGAAGGTCCTGAAGAGTTGTCAGGCAGCTTGGCAGGGAGCACTCTTGAGGGCAAGACACCCTGTGATCCTCATGGTATGCTCCCAACATGTCAGCCTTGGCCCCTGGTTCCAGAATTAAGCTGAGTCAGTTTGCTCCACTCGAACTGGCTCAAGAGAAAAGGGGATATATTGGCTCACAGAACTGAGAACTCCAGGGACTTTTTGTGTTTCAGGCACAACTGCTCTCAGGTGCTCAAATGTCACCAAATAATGCTCTCTGCTCTTCGTTCCTCTGTTTTCCTCTTATTCTCTTGTGGAGGCAAGTTGGCTACAGCAGCTGTGGGCAGCTCTCCTGTTAGCAACCCTCATGGAAAGAGCTCTCCTTTCTCAGTAGTCCCAGCCAGTCTCAGGATGTCATCTTATCGGCCTGGCTTGGGTCCCATGACCATCCTAGAGCCAATCACCGGGAGCTGGGGGATGGACTGCTCAGTTGGGCTAGGCTGCGTCATGTGCCCACTTAGGGAGCTGAGGCCTGGGGTCAGCTCTACCCCAACCACAGAGTTTTTTTTTTTTTGTGAAGATTTTATTTATTTATTTGACAGAGAGAGACACAGTGAGAGAGGGAACACAAGCAGGGGGAGTGGGAGAGGGAGAAGCAGGCTTCCGGTGGAGCAGGGAGCCCGATGCGGGGCTCGATCCCAGGACCTGGGATCATGACCTGAGCTGAAGGCAGACGCTTAACGACTGAGCCACCCAGGCGCCCCGCAACCACAGAGTTTTGAGTGATAGAGAGGGTAATGAATGGTAAATTATTGGGCAACAAAAACTCAGGCAAACCCGCAATAAAGTTAAAAGGCAAACTAGAATCTGGATAACAATATTTACACAGGGGTGCCTGGGTGGCTCAGTCCGTTAAGCGGCTGCCTTTGGCTCTGGTCATGATCCCAGGGTGCTGGGATCGAGCCCCGCGTCGGGCTCCCTGCTCAGCAGGAAGCCTGCTTCTCCCTCTACTACTCCCCCTGCTTGTGTTCCCTCTCTCTCTGTCTCTCTCTGTCAAATAAATAAATAAAATCTTTAAAAAAACAACAACGATATTTACACAAAACAAGCTAACTGCTAATGTGCTAAATGTAAGAAGTGCTCTTATAAATCGGTTTAAAGGGGTGCCTGGGTGGCTCAGTCACTTAAGCGTCTGACTCTTGATTTTGACTCAGGTCTTTATCTCAGTCAGGGTCGTGAGATCGAATGCCTCGTGGGGCCCCGGGTTGAGCCCCGGGTCAGGCTCCACACTCACCGGGGAGTTTGCTTCTCTCCCTCTGCCCCTCCCCCCACTCATGTTGGCGCCCTCTCTCTCTAAAATAAAGAAATAAATCTTTAAAAATAAATAAATAGATTTAAAGAGAAGAAAAAGAAGAGACCATCATGGACTAGGTGGCTTAAACAACAGGCATCTATTTTCTCACAGTTCTGGAGGGTGGAAATCCAAGATCAGGATGCCAGCATGGCGAGGTTCTGGTGAGAGCCCTCTTCCTGGCTTACGGATGGCTGCCTTCTCCCTGTGTCTTCAACATGGTGAGAGAGCTTTTCTTATATGGACTCAAATTCTATTGGGTCAGGGCCTTATCTAACCTTAGTTCCACAAAGGCCCCAACAGAGTTGTATTGAATATATAAATTTGAGGTGGGGGTGAGGGGATAGGGGCGGGGGCACAAACACTCAGTCCATAAAACTTACCCAGAAAAACTTGGGAGTCTAAGTGGTGAATGATTCAGGCTCAACACCTGGAAGCTCGTGGACGCTGCTCAGGGTCTCCTTGGGGGAATAATGTCTGAACGTGAAGCAAGGGAGCCCCCTTTGGAGGCCAAATGTGGCACACCACTGCAGAAACAGCAGATACAGACCAAGGACCTCCCCACAGCGGTTTGTGCGTCCACCAGGCTGTGCAGGACTGGTGTTCAACAGTGCCACCTTGTGGTGCAGAGAGCAAGAGCACTAGAGGGCTGCTGACTACAGTTCTCTCTACATCTGGTATTTCAGAAGCAGAACTGAGTAAGGCTTTGGGGGTTTTTGGAGCATTCAAAAGCAAGATATTAAACTTTATAATAATAGAGGTTGAGGGGGAAGGAGGATTCAAGTGACTCATTAGGAAAGAACTCTGATTAAATTCATACCCTAAGCTATTGGTATAGTTTGTACCAGTTCTGCAGGAAATGAATGCATCTGTTGAGCTCTTGGAACTCCTTGGTAATAAAGTTTTTCAGCTGTTCAGATTGGCTACCCTTTTAATGTGCTCATGGTACATCAGGGCATAGACACACCTGAATAGCCACAGAATATGGGGTGAGACTTGAGTGGTTCTCTCATAAAATAAAATGCTTCAAGTGCTTTTTGAAAATGAAAACCCAGGGCGCCTGGGTGGCTCAGTTGGTTAAGCATCTGCCTTTCGCTCAGGTCCTGATCCCAGGGTCCTGGGATCGAGTCCCACATCGGGCTCCTTGCTCAGCAGTGAGTCTGTTTCTCCCTTTCCCCCTGCCCCTCCACCTGCTTGTGTGCTCTCTCTCTCAAATAAATAAATAAGTAAAGTCTTCAAAAAAATAAAAGTGAAAACTCAAGGCAGAACCACTTTTTTTTTTTTAAGATTTTATTTATTTGAGAGAGAGAGAATGAGAGACAGAGACCACGAGAGGGAAGAGGGCAGAGGGAGAAGCAGACCCACTGCTGAGCAGGGAGCCCGATGCGGGACTCGATCCCGGGACTCCAGGATCATGACCTGAGCCGAAGGCAGTCGCTTAACCAACTGAGCCACCCAGGCGCCCAAGGCAGAACCACTTTTAAACTTTAACTGTGGTAAGCTTTAACTGTGCCATGTTCAAATTTGTGGGAGAATTACGATCTTTCAAGAATTAGGATATTTTATTTTATTTTTTTAAAGATTTTATTTATTTATTTGAGAGAGAGCATAAGCAGGGGGAGCGGCAGGAAAAGGGAGAAGCAGGCTCCCGGTCAAGCAGGGAGCCCAGTGCGAGACTCGATCCCAGGACCCCGGGACCATGACCTGAGACGAAGGCAGATGCTTAACCGAGCCACCCAGGTGCTCTGAGAATTAGGATAATTTATTAATTTATTTTTAAGATTTTATTTATTTATTTGAGAAAGAGAGAATGAGAGAGAGAGCACTTGAGAGGGGGGAGGGTCAGAGGGAGAAGCAGACTCCCTGCTGAGCAGGGAGCCCGATGCGGGACTCGATCCAGGGACTCGATCCAGGGACTCGATCCAGGGACTCCAGGATCATGATCTGAGCCGAAGGCA